TATGTGTGTTCTTCGAAAGTAAATATGCATATTTGTGTATTGAAGTATAAATCATTATAGCTCATTGACATCTTAAATATTATTAATACACATGCATATACAATTAGTTTTTCATGCATATTTTACCTGGAGAAATTTAAATTCTGTTTCAGTTCATGTTAGCAATGATTTAAATGAAAATTTATAACATGACACATATAAAAATAATGTTAAGTATTTTAACGTTAATGATGAACTTTGAATTTCATGTTATGTTAAAATTTCTATGTGTGATTCATTTCCTCTTAAACTATTTAGAATAGTTTACAGTGGTTGAGGATGGTAAGAATAAAAAATTTCAAGTTCAGAAATAGCTATGGTTATCTGGTATGAGTAATAGAAAAAAAAATATTACAAATATCTTTTCACTATAGAAAAGCATGCACCAAACAATTTCTTATAGAACGGTATACATACCAATGTTACTCGCTGAGCAGAGTTAAGGTTTTTTTTTTTTTTTTTTTTTTTTTTTTTTTTTTTTTTTTTTTTTTTTTTTTTTTTTTTTTGTTTTTTTTTTTTTTTTTTTTTTTTTTTTTTTTGTTTTTTTTTTTTTTTTTTTTTTTTTTTTTTTTTTTTTTTTTTTTTTTTTTTTTTTTTTTTTTTTTTTTTTTTTTTTTTTTTTTTTTTTTTTTTTTTTTTTTTTTTTTTTTTGTTTTTTTTTTTTTTTTTTTTTTTTTTTTTTTTTTTTTTTTTTTTTTTTTTTTTTTAAATGTTTTTTTTTTTTTTTTTTTTTTTGTTTTTTTTTTTTTTTTTTTTTTTTTGTTTTTTTTTTTTTTTTTTTTTTTTTTTTTTTTTTTTTTTTTTTTTTTTTTTTTTTTATTTTTTTTTTTTTTTTTTTTTTTTTTTTTTGTATCTTTTATAGCAGTGTTCGTTTTGAAGTAAATATTAGTAATGAAAAGTTTTTAGAATAGTTTAGACAAATTTCTTTCGCAGTGGCTAATCGCACCGTCGGTGCGAATAGCCTACCACCTACGTTCGCGCATGCGCACAATCAGCCCAGGTACTAGCATTTTACGCCGATTTCCGTAAGGCAGGCGGTAGCGAGAGCGAAGGTTGGTAACCCTAACTCAACAATAGAAAGGGTTGTTAATAGTTCACTAGCATGAGGATAATTTGCAAGTAATAATTATCAGTTACATAGACGAGGTCAATCTATATATATAATAAAGTTCAGAAAATGATTAGATAAAATAGGGATTTAATGATGGTTCTAATTGCAAGCGAGGACGTGTAATTAGTTAAAAAATCTATAATGTATTGACAAAAAGGCTACAGAAATTACTTAAATTTTGTATTTAAGAGATAGAATTTTTATGCAAACTTAAACCCTAGTCTTATAGCATAGGAGTGTCAGAATTTATTATTCAGTAAGAAAACTTACTGAACATTATAATATTCTTATATATTCATCACTTTTTCAGTATCCACACATGGTTATAGGTTCAAATGCCATATTTCAAAATCAAAGTTATTTATGAAATAAAACCTTATTAAATCTGATAAATCATTTGTGTGTGCATATTTTTAAATCTAAATCTCTTTCATTAAATTATTTCTGTTTTTTAAATTGCATCCCATTATTTATTTAAATGTAATTTATTAATATGTTTGTACGAATATTTCAAAGTTCTTTGAAATACTTTTGTGTCCTGAAAATGCCAAGTATTTCCATAAAAAATAAACAAGCATAAAAAAATTGTTAATAACCGGTATTATATGATTAATTATTCATTTAACAGTTGGTTTAATCGCTTTTAACTTATTTCATGTCTAAATTTTCTACACAGAAATCCTCTGTGTAATTTTTATTATCTTTTCTCAGACGAAAATTTTCAAAGAGGAATGAATGAAGTTTTCATTGTGCAAAACGCATCTTTGAAGCTAAATTGTATTCTAAGAAGTACAAAAAATTGTAAACAAGGTATTGTTCCCCCCTCCCTGCCCCCCAAAACCAGTCATATAAAACTATTCCAACCGTTCAGAAAAACGATAAAGATTGCGAACATAAAAAATGTGCCTTTTTTTTATATATATTTTAATAAAAGGGAAATGTGTTTTTCTTCTTGATATATATAGTATATATAAGAAAAGTTACCTATTTTCCTTTCCAATCTTTTGAAAGTCGCCAACACTTAAAGAATGATAAACTACGCCAAGGTAGTAACCCGCCTTTAAAAAAAAAAGATTCACTCTAAAACGTATTGTCTGTTCTCTTCGAATGAGTTCAAATGAAGGATCCGACAACTCAATGCGCATGCGTGATTGATGTTGGTGCGAATAGCTCAAGCGGCTAATCGCACCACCGGTGAGAATAGCATCGGCCAATTTCTCCATGGTGAAAATTAGCTATTGATGAAAGTATTTTTTCTCACTTGAAGTATCAAATGGGCACATATATCTTTTTTGAGAATATTTTTTGGCTTATGTTGTTCTGTTATGTAAAAACCCAAGTATTTGTTCAGTGATAAATATTGATAGGGAACAGACTTTTAGGTAATTTCATTTCCCAGCCATTGCATATAACTACTTATATAGAATACTAATATTTCTATTACAAGTGTCTTTTTTCATATAGATTTGATTGTTGTGCTTTGATTGTTGATATTCTCAAAATTGCATCTGATAATTAGTGCTTTTATGTTATTTATAACAGATACAAATACAATATATTTTAGTATATATTGATTCAATATCATTTATATATATATATATATATATAAAGAGACAACTTTTACTGGACAGATTTTCTGGAAATCCCATGTTAAACACATATGAAATCATTTGTTTACGATCAGTGAATGTTAAAATCAGCTACCTGTCGCAATGCAATAAAACAGCGACATAATGCTTACAACAGGCCAGCAGTTCCTCCTTTACATGAACAAAAAATAAAAAAAAAATTCTCCTTTTTCAACAAAGAAATGTTCTTCGATTTCACGCGATCAGGACGCTATGGAACTTATCCTTAAATAGGAAGCCAAAATTTGAACACTGGATTTTTCAAGTAAAATCTCGTGCATTACCAAATGATCCGTTTTTTAAAATTCTCTCTGCTTCAGTAATACAGCGAGAATCTACGCCTCCTTGAACAAAATCAAACATTTACGAAAAGCTAGGCAACTCCATTTTTGGATGTACGAAGTCAGATCACAAATCAAAATACCGGTTTTTATCCGCCACACTGTGTGAAAGCGCTACCTATAGGTGAACTGAATCTCTGAATAAGCGAATAAAATGATCTTGAAAATTGAGAGTGATTAATGTGTAAATAAGGCAGCGACCTTGTCAAAAGCTTTCGCGATTTCTGTTTAACCCGTGCTGATAAGGTTAACTTCGGGTACGGCCTCTAGTTAGGTCTTTTTTCCAACCTTTTTGGCATTTTTTAACTGCTATCGGGCGAAAAGATGTGGAATGAAAGTGCACTATACTAGCTAACGGAGGGCTGTGTGATCACCGAGGCAAGCGGCAGCACGATCGCTGCGCTCCGTAAAAAAGTGAAAATTTTTCCTTTCCTCTTGGTGATTATCAATTAAATTTCTTTGAAAAATGTTTATTTTTCCCCTACAAAACCTATATCATTCCAATGAATTTCGGCTCCGATGTTGACGAGAATAAAACAGCGGACAATGTAAGGATATACTCCAAAAGCCTGGAATTTTAAGATAAGTACTTTTCTTTCATCTAAACTAAATCAAATTTCTATAAATAAGTGCCTTTAAATCAATAAAATCTTAATTTTTCATTCAGTTTAAAGCATTAAAAAATACTTGAAATTGCTCATTGCTTGTGGCTTCCTTTGTGTATCAACTTCGAAACAGACGCCCAGCGTTATCAGTTCATGTCTGTCAACACTTACAAAGCCCTTAAAGGAATCTCGAGAGAGGGAAAATTTGGGGATGAGAGGGAATAATTTGGGCATCGCGCTATTTCCCTCTCGGATCTTCTGGATTCTCCTTTCTTTCTAGATCGCTTTGAATATAGTTTCGCCTTTAAATAATATTATACCTCACCGATTTTTTCTCATACTGTTCTTTGCTATCTGTTAAATGTCCATATGTAAGGGATGGTTTATTCTTCGCCGCCCCTTAAATGAATTTTTAGAACTATGAGCTTATAAATAACAGTGTGCCTCATTGTGTTATATTAACATTATTTAACTAGTAATAAATTATGATAATAAAATTAATAAATACTGTTTAATTTGTGTTTTTTAATACATATACTCAGTAATTTACACACACACACACAATATATATATATATATATTTATTTTATTTATTTATTTATTTATTTGGGTGTATGCGGTTGTGGTCTTGTATTGTATATGGCTCTATGTTGTTAATCTGCTGCTGCTTTTTGAAAAAATGTATGAAAATGTTGAGAATGAAAGTAGCATAAGTTACTTTGGTTAAATTAATATATACTTTTGTTTGATGACCTTTGTTGATATCTCAGGGTGCAAGCGTACATATTACTTTATATTCCATGCTAAATACCTTGATACGAAGCATTTTAATACCGTCAATATTTGTTTTTTTTTTCCCCAGTAACACATCTATTCACCATTACGAAACACACTCACTACACAAACACACCTGTGAGACACTATTTATTGTAAATGAAGACAGTTTCTATTTCTTCTCCTTTTAACTACACTCATGGACACAATCGTATTTTAGGATATTTTCTACTTCTTTTTTTCCTTTTTCTTTCTATAGGCCCTTTTTTTTTTTTTTTTTTTTTTTTTTTTTTTTTCCCTCTATATTTTTTTTGGGCCATTTATTTTAAATTTTATTTTGTCCCATCTTTTCTTCCTGGCCTTTTGAACTCGTACAAGATGTACGAAGTTCCCTTTTACTTTCCTCAAATACGAAATTGCCCCTCTTTCTATATACCTTTCCTTCGCACCTATGCTTGATTTTTCGCCCATCTGTGCAGAAAGACTTAGCGGGTGCAAAACAAGACATCTGTCTACTTTGTCTGTCTGTCTGTCTGTATACTAGCTAACGTAGGAATATTAAACGTGTTTTGTTTATAGTGTACATTTGTATATATTTTATTATATTTTTGTGATATAACGTTTTCCTACATTTTTCAAGGTGATTAGTTTTCCTTACAGTGAAATCGAATTGTTTTTCTTATCTGTGAAATGTATGCAGATACATATCGTAGATGATAAAATCAAAGCTAGGTTTATAGGTATGAAAAATAATGTTTCTTATTTATCTCTAGAAATATTGCTGAATTAGATGTAATGCTGTTGTCTTAAAGGAAAAAAAATGTCAACATAAAAAATATTCATTAATTGATTAATCTGCCTTGATTCGACCCGTTAGTCTTAATTACCTTTGAAATTTTAGTTTATGTATTTCATGCATTACATTAATAATATGACATAAAAGTGACTTTCGGTCTTGTAAGCATTTTTCTTGATTGTCTCCCCTTCTTGACTTAGAAACAAAGCTAAACTAAAATTTTTAAATATGTGCAATCTTTTTTTTTTTTAGATAAATATTTGTTATATTCCAAAAATTGATTTACCTATCTTTTTTAAGAGACTTACTGTGCTGTAAGTTAAAATTGATTTAGCTTGTTTTTGCATTTTTAAACTTGAGTCATAGTGTTTTTATATTCTAAAATCAGTTAACATGCATTGCAGGATATGGTTGTCAATATTTTTTTAAAGTATTTTAATTTTGTTATTAGGCCAAAATGTAGAGGAATTATGCTTTCATTAGGTTAGTTGTTGCAAGCAAGGATAGTTATGGGCGAAATCTCAGCTATTGAATTTCATAGAAATGAAATTAGTTCATAGTTTAATTAATTTGTAATATTTTCTGTGTTGTAATGCTAAATATATTAATAGTAATTCATATGAATTGAGTAGAGAATAAATGTTTTATTAGCCAATCTTCATGCATATTAAATTTATATGAATTGAGTAGAGAATAAATGTTTTATTAGCAAGTCTTAAAGCATATTAAATTGTTTTTGATAAAGTAATCAGTGTTTGTAGTTTAAAATATATTTGAGTAACTAAGCTATCAGCTGAACTTTCATTTGTGATTTGAAAGCATGTTTTTGGTTTTATCATTCATTTTGAATGTGGTGTGAATGTTTGATGTTACAATAATATATAAAGTCAGGGAACTACTCTTATATACGCCCTCGCTTGGCGACAAATTTCTCACCAAAAATATTTGGCGAGAAACTCCATGGTGCCATATTACTATCTACATTTTTTTCAACATTTTGAACTTTAAGCCTAAAATGTCTCCAAAGACATGGTTTCTGCACCTGCAAAAAGCACGTTTTTAACACACAATTTAAGCTAAAAATCTAAAACAAAAAATTTAGATAGCAAAAAACGTAAAGCTTCTGACCAAAAATATTTTACAAGAATCCATGTGCACAGCGATATGTTTTAACTTAAAAAAAAATCACAGAATTGCACAATCTGTGCAGCAAAGGAATCTACGAACTATGCAAACATAACAACTTAATAATTAATAGCTTAAATAAACATAACAACAATAAATTTCAAAGAATACCATGTACACAGCGTTCTGTTTAAACTTAAAAAAAAAAATCTACGAATTGCACAATCTAGGCAGCGAAGGAAACTAGGAACTATGCACACCTCGCTTTAATAAATTTCGCAGAATACCATGTACACAGCATTCTGTTTAAACTTTAAAAAACATCTACGAATTGCATAATCTAGGCATTGCTCACTAATCAAGAAAATAAACAAATAAATTTCAAACAATTAAAAAAACAACAACAATAACGACAGAAATTCATACTAAAAAACAATGAACCTAACATTCTACAAAATAAGAACAAGAATAAAATAAAATGCACTTACCATGAATGAATGCTTCTTCGAACAGCAGAAATACCAATTTCAAACATCACCAAAACAATTTCACCAGAAATTTGTTAAAAGCATCTTCTCTTGTTTCAGAACAATAATAGAAAAATATATAAACCACTAAATAAAACAAAAAATCACATTTTCAATTATAAGTAGGCAACATAGCTTTAACATGCCGGCACGTAATCTGTCTTATTTATGTGACAGCCAGACTCACTTTCCGCAAATTGATGCTATCTTTCACAAATAAATGTTCAAAACCTTCTTCTTCTAAATACTTGTAGAATTTCCAGCCATCCGAAAAAATAGTTGTGCCAGGCACACGACTAAAATTTTGCCATTGCATCCTCAATCACTTAAATACCACACATACCACACGAACCAACTAGCAACCAAAACCACTAAAGTCCAAGTTTCCACATAAAAAGAGTTGCCATAAAAACAGACATCGATTCCAAAACCATCGCAGAACACGGTATTATGCCAAAAACCAGCGCACAACACGTATCGCCGCATTTGGCGACATGAGGGCACATATAACAGTAGTACCAAAGTCTGTAATGTGTCACATCATTTTAATTTTGAAGTTGTAATGCTGTAATTTATAATTATATGTATTAGTTTAATTTATTTCTGACCTTTTTATGCATATTTAAATCGAGATCTGTAGTTTATGGCTTATGTAGCCTGGATTTTTTCATGCTGTATTAGTGATGTGGATATTAGCTGTGTATCTTATTTGATATAAAGTTTAAGGTTATGTATTTTAGATGTAGGAGTTATAATATAATTTATTTCTATTGGGGAATACTGCAGTTGCCAAAGAATAAAGTCATATAGTTCATATTCATAATGATTTTGTGATGTGTGTGTGTTATGTGTTGCAGTAAAATGGGCTGCATGCCTATGACACACTTCATCATAAAATTCTTGAAGTATGATGAATATTAGCATTTATGATGAATATTAGCTAGGCATGTACTTGCCATTAAAAAAATGTTTGAAAAGAGTATAAATGGTATGTGTGAAAAGCAAAAATAGTTTATATGGTGCATATATATATAAATTTAGGTAAAAATCACCGATTTAATTATTTCACAGTAGTTTTTCAGAAAACTGTCAGTTTCAAAGACATCAGGCATGAGGTTTCCTCTGAAAACTGTAGTTTGTCTAAATGAAAGTAAGGAAATGGTTATGAAGACTGAGAATTATTTATAAATCATAATTAAAATATATGGGATATATATATATATATATATATGATATCAATACTAAATGCAAAATTGGACAAAAATAAGCTTTAGATTAGCATTGTCTTAAAAGTCTAGGAGTCAAGCACTGGTGTCCTTCTCTTTAAGAAATGAAAATATTCATGAACTCTGTTCCATCAAATCCTAGAAATATGTTCGTGAGGGATTATGATATTTTGTGTCTACTCTTTGTTTTGCAATTGAAATTAAATTGTATTTGAAAGTGAAGTAACAGGAAAGATTTTTAGTTCTAGAATCTAGTGCTAATATATGCATAAAGTTTTGCATATACAATTTAATATAATTTTTGAGTTTATTGCATCCTGTACATAATTAAAATAAGTTTGTTTTCTTTCTAAATATATTGTTGTCAAGTTATAGTGTAAAATAATTTAATTGTATAACTTTCACCTTTTAAAGCATCCTTGTAGTGATTTTAAAAGTATTAAATTGTTTATTAAGTTAAAAAAAAATTAGAATAAAGCATTCACAAGTAATGACTTAAATAGGCTGTTTAAGAAATTTATATGGTTTGTATCATGATATTTATCTAGCTGCTTATTTTATATGTCCAAAGGGGCTTTGTCCCTGAAGGACTATTGTTTTCATTTTGGGATTTTGCGTTGAAAACTTTATAAGGCTGTATCACTTTTCAAATCGTTGCCACCAAATACTATCACCCTGTATTATATTTGAAGAAATTAAATATGAAGAATCTGCATAAATGTATGTATGTTTCTTGCATTGTGACAAAACAACGGTACCTAGAGCCATCCAATTTTGAATGACATAATCCTACTGTGAATGGGCATCTGAAAGCCCAAATTTGAAATTTGGAATTTATTTTATTAGTGATTTCATATTTTGTAAAACTTTAACGAATTTTTGATTAACAAACTCAAGGATTTCAAAGCAAGCGATGGCAAGGTTGTCAGAAAAAAAATTTTTATCTCCAGCATGTGAGACTGCGCATCGGAAATTCTAAAGATATGCTCAATTTAAAATTTTGCGATATTGTTCTTAAACTGGATTTTATGATTTAAGTGCGAAGAACTTGATATTTAATAAATAAAGGTAACAGACAAAATGTTAAAAAAACACCCCTTTGGACGTAATTTAAAATTTGAAACCTTTCAGATTTTCATTTATGCAGTTGTTATTTAATTTTTTTGGTACTTATTTATTATGCCATTGACTCTAAAATTTACGTACCATTAAACCAAAGTTGGTGGAGATGCCACCAAAGTTGTTCTATTCGTTCCAGTGAAATTTTCAAGGAACTAATGCCTCATTATTTGATAAACAGTCACTTCTCAGCTCACTTAATTTTTATGTTTCATGAAAAGCTTTTCATTAATTTCTACTATTTTGTTAGGCTCTCTGAGAACCAGAAGTTCTATGATTACAGACTTCTAGTGGGTTCTTATTCCAATTTAATACTGCTTTGTTGCCCATATTCAGCTGATCATAGCGAACTGTCTGTTAATAGCGAACTTTGCGCCAAAAATCGCCACTACAAAAAGCCAAAATAACAAGACAAAGAATTGCACAAACTCAGTATCCATGTACATATCAACCTATTTTCACTTTAAAAAAATCTCATAATTGCACAAAAATTTCATTGCACACTCCCTTTATCTGTGTACACATCGACTTATTTTCACTTAAAAAAAAAAAAAAATCAGAGAATTGCTCAAACTAGGCTTTGTGCACTCCCTTGACTTTGTCCATGTACACATCGAACTATATTCACTTAAAAAGCCAAAGAAGCAGCCAACAAAAAAAAAAAAAAAAAAAAAAAAAAAAAAATATATATATATATTATATATAATCTTAATAAACTACATTTTAAATCAAACAATGAAATAACATAAATACATTAATCTTTGCACACACAAAGGAAATATCCACTTACCTTATTTACGAATTAAGTCGTCTTCAGTCAAACAAAATTCCTTAATAGCATCCAAAAACTTCCTAAAATTATCTGAACTAGAATCTGTATACTGGCGTTGCAACATAAATTCGCAAAATAAGAGTAAAAAATATCCTCCGTAATGACATTCCACCGC